CAGTAGTCACTATATTGGACTTATAGGTTCTTGACTATTGGCAGCCATTTTGAATTTGACGGCCATTTTGGAATTTTTTAAGATGGCTCCATATCCAAAAATGTTTATTAGCATCATAACTAACACTGTGCAAAGTTTCATGCTTTTACTATAAAGTGATCAATCATGCCAATATATAGGACTAAGCCTCTTGACTATTGATGGCCATTTTGAACTTTGGCGGCCATTATGGATTATGTTTAGATGGCTTCATATCCAAAAATGTTTATAAGCATCATAACTAACACTGTGCAAAGTTAGATGTTTTTACTATAAAGTGATCAATCATACCAATAAATAGGACTAAGCCTCTTGACTTTTGGCGGCCATTATGGATTTTGTTTAGATGGCTCCATATCCAAAAATGTTTATTAACATCATAACTAACACTGTGCAAAGTTTCATGCTTTTACCATAAAGTGATCAATTGTCAAAAAATATTAGACTTAGCCGCTGGACTAATTGGAATGCGATTGCAATACATATTCTGAGGTCATGAAAGTTCATAAAACACTCGTCAACAGCAATACACACAAATAGTCCGGCAGTGGGCGGAGCTTTAAGGCGATATCTGTATAGTATACAAATCGAGATACATATACAGGCTAGCGATATCTATTGGGCTGTTAATGTATGATAAGACACCCAATTGCAGGATAATTTAATTTATTGTAAACATACATAAAACCTACGAATTAAAGAGTGGTTTAATAAAACAAGAAATTTATTAAACAGATAATTTACAACAATAAACATTACAATTTTTTAATTTTTGTCATACAGTACTCATTCGAAAAAAAAAACATGCATTGCAATAAAATCCAATTTAATAAATGATTCAGACAAGCGTCTGTACAATACACAAGCGTCGTTTGAGTAGAAAGCATTCGTTTTTTAAACAGGGGCATCTGTCATGACAACTCAATTCCAACCGGATATGACTGCCTTTTTTTACACATCCTGTACAGTTGGTGGCACTTGAGCTATAGTTATTCAACATTTAAAAATGAAAATACATAACTTTTTTGTATACATTTTTAATTGATTGCTTTAAATATCACAGAAATCTTGAGTTAGTTATAATGTAACAAATGTTTTCCTTTTTTAAGCTATTTTCATGAAAAACCCGAACTACTTATCTTTGTAAGATTCGTCGTCAACGATAAAACTATGTTTTTTTTTAATGAAACAGTTCAGCGTGATTAATGGTTGAAATGTTGTGAATGACAATAAGATAGCAGCACATCAAACACACAACGGTCAAAATACGCTTGTCAACATTACTACAGGGAAAGTCATTTATTATAGTATGACGGGTAAGCTATCTATATTTAAAGGACACGGGTAAGCTAACTATATTTAAAGGAGACATTTTTGGAAACGAAATATGGATACTGTAAACCAATGGAATTTTGAATTGATTTGATACTCGATAAATCAAATTTCTCGAGATTATTTCAGGCGTTGATCTTCTTCGATATGTATAGATCAAGAAAATTAGAAATTGGCCAATTGCTAATGGCGGACATTCCAATCCATAGACCAAGAAACGACAAAAAGTTCTCAAACTGAAATTAATAAACAGTTCAGTAAGATAACAACTATTTATGAAAATGTTCTCAAGGCGTTTAGATCATAATCCAAATTGCAAGCAAAATATTGAAATCTGCACTAAAAATTTGAAATTATACGTTAAAACATATTTCCAAACTAGAGATAGCAATAGATTTTTTTCTATATTCATCCACCTGAAGTTATAAAAATGTGCTTTGAATATAACAGCCAAATATAAAAACAAAATAATCACGTGATCAATGTTGTTCGGATCATTTTATGTGTATTCCAGCTACATTGAATATTTTCAAAAGTTCAAAAAAGAAATACTAGCATAACGTTGCAACGATGTAAAAGAACATGTTTTTTTTTTTTTTATCAAAAATACAAAAATGGCTATTTAAACTTTTTCATTCTCTCACTTTAATGTAGATATTACATAAAAACAGGCATCCAAGTTTTTTTCCATTTTATATAAGGTATGTGTTATAAAAGTCACAGTAATTATACATTAGGTATCAATTTTGGTCTGTGGTATGGCAAATGGTCATAAATCTCCACTTTTAAAAATTTTTAAAAACTGACGACGAATTAAACAGCACACAATTTAAAATGTGTGTCGACTCAGCCTGCCTCAAATAACGAAAACAACACTTTGTAAATTTTATGCGTCCGAAGCATTTTCTGGATGTATCTTCACAAGGGACGCTAAAATAATCAAATATTTTTAAGCCAAGGATGTATAAACAAAAGTTTATCGACAGGTTGATGGTATTCCTCTGGGCACCAATTGTGCCCCTTTCGAATTCATAGCAGACTTGTTCCTGTAGTGTTATGAATCACATTTTATGGCCAAACGCAGTAAAAACCTGTCTAAATTGCATTTAATTGAAAAATTCACAACACTTAATGTTATAGTGATGATATTTTTTCGTTAATTAATCAAGAATTCTCTAAATATACTGCCAAAATTTACTCAAAGGAACTTACTTTAAATAATTCAAATATAACAGCAATAACTATTCTTTCCTAGATTTAAATATTTCATTTTTTACAAGATTAACTCTACACAAAAGTTTACGACAAAAGGGACGATTTTTCTTTCCCTAGTGTTAATTTTCACTTTTTGTTATGGTAATTTTCCTTTGGCACCGTCTTACGGTGTTTATTTATCCCAACTCGTTCGCTATGCTCGTGTCTGCAGTGAAGTTTTGGATTTCAATAAGCGTATCCTATGTATTACTGATAAATTATTTTGTCTACTAAATTCTTCCATAGATACAACAATTTAGTTTGGAAGTTGTACCTGTAGAAAACTTATTTCAAACAGAATAGCAAATCAAAATGTTTACGATGATGTTGTTTACCGAGCCCGGAAATGTAGATACGATCCAGGTAAACTTATCAATCCTTTGAATAAACGTATTCTGAAAGGTTACAAATTCAACACTGTAATTAGATCTTTGAATATTGTTTTTATTGGTATTAGTGTGGCGTGGTCAATTACATCAAAGAGTTGATGGTCAATATTTAATCAGTTTTATGATCTTTTATCTTGATTAATGTGACAGTTTATACGGTACATGAGTTGCACAGTAGAGTTGCAATAACATTAATAAGTTTATCAAAATACTCTAAGACCATAAAGCAATGTTTAGTCTAAATAAAGAACATGTGTTAATAGCACGATCTTCTGGGAAACTTTATATTGGTCAGTAGTAGCTTGAAGTACAAAGTTGTATGTACGAATGTCAATTGGAATTTTTAATTGTGAACCTTTACATATATTATATATACATGTACTGTTATATAATTAAATATGTGAACATTAAACAGACTTCGTTAAATAGACTTAGTTGTGAGCTTACGGAGAAACTTTACAATTGCTGGTTCCCTATGCTAAACGGGCAAACATGGAGTAACCGATCCCGGATATATAGATCCGAAATATGACTAGGTACAAAAAACACAGAAGAAAGACCCGTTACATTATATTAAAACCATACTAAATACTTTTGTTATACACATATGCACATTCACGGTTTTTTCTACAATCTGTCGATACCTATATTTTGGCATTGTTTTTCGCTGACTTTTAATGACGTCTTTACACTAAATCCATTGGATGTTGGATGTGTACTGATTGATATTTTAGTCTTAGATAAAGGATTTTTTTATTAGTTGTTATTGGCTTTTAACTTTTAAAGTCTTAATTGTGTGTCATTTTTGTTCCGAGGGATGTATAAATTCACTGCCACGTTCCGGTCGGTGTTTTTGTTAGATGTTTTTCTGCTTTGTATCGGTCTGATGAGTTAAGCCCTTTTCGACTGATTTTCTTTTTGTTTCTAATGTTGTGCCGTTATACTACTGTCCCAGGTTGAGGAGGGTTGGCGCCTTCAAACATGTTTAACCCCGCCACATTCCAAGTCAGGAAGATAGAGATGAGCATCCTCTATTTGAGATTTTATGCAAATGCGTGTACCGTCAAGGGCACCGACTACATTTGGAAAGTTTGTCTTTTCATAAAAACCTCTCAAAATATTGTGAAGTAACTTTTATGATAATCATAAGACCACCATAAGTCATGTCGCGAAGTTTACGATAAACGTTATGACATATCGTAATTTGGGACACTTTTGAAAACATATTTTACGACTATGGCATGTCCTTAGACCATCGTAAGACATGTCTTAGTCATATGATACTTTCGAAAACCAGGCCCCTGTATCGTATCTATTCTCTTTTGGAAAGTTTAAATATTTCATTTAAGGAATAGCTGAATTCTTCCGACTAAGAAATAAGTCGATTTCCTAATTTGATATTATTTTTCATTATCTTGAATTAAACCATAGCAAACTATTTATAAACGAATCAATTCAAGGACACAAACCCCCTATAGGGATAAAGTTGAATTGAAATGAAATTAAGTATCTCTCCAAATGGAGATAAGATATCAAATATTCATTGACATAATTTGTGTGATCTTCCCGTATGACCAGAAAACTTTAAATCTGGGATTTTTCAATTGAATTCATTGGCATTTAAATATTTGCGGACAAACGAAAAAGATCTAGAAAAATCGTCACTATATGATTGCGCGTGCTTGTGGGTCTATTTATATTTATATGTATGTTTATATTGGGTTATATGGCTGTCTGTAGCCTTCGGATGTCATCGCGATGGTTAAATAGATAATGTCTAGTCTAAAATCCGCCAAAAATGTTGATACACTATAACTTTTCCATGCATTGTTTATTGTTTCTTTTTGAATTCGGATCAAAGCGGTGAACACGATATTGTGAAAAAAAAAACAATTTTGCTATTCAAACCTCAACAGGAGATAGGTTACCCATGTGTAAAGCATATTCCGTTATTATGGGGAAGATCCGTTTTTTTTTAATGAACACTCAAACAAACTAGTTCTTATTCAGGTAAAACGATGATTTACATACTATGAATTTTTCTTCCTCAGGAATAGATTACCATACCTGTATTTGGCAAAACTTTTCCGAATTTGGGTCCTTAATGCTCTTCAACTCTGTACTTTCTTTTGCCTTTTTAACTTTTTTATTCGAGCGTCACTGATGAGTCTTTTGTGGACGAAACGTGCGTTTTGTGTACACAATTAATTTTAATCTCTGATGAGTGAATAAACACACACAAAATGCTGATCCATTATAACGAGTCCATTCATCGTAAATTGGTCCTTTTGGAGTTTTTGTAATTTGGATATACGTTTTAGTATGTTATGAATTTAATCTGAGAATTTGAGTCAAATCGATGTACATGAATTTGACAGCTAATGCAACTTTAACATAATGAGCACTGAATTGGTATTGCAGCTTCGGTTGCACAATAGCATAAAGTTTAAACAAAACTTACCAAAAATGCATAACCGGTTGGAAAATACTTTCGATTCGATTTCATTTAAAATCTTAAAATTTTAAAATGAAATGAGCTATAAAACAATTTTTGTTTCATTTCTAATTGTTAGATCAAAAGATTAGTAAGGGTCAGCATTACTCACTTTTTGTTTCTTTGAATGCTTCATATATTTATTTCGTGTTATTGCAGTGTTGTTTCAAGTCTGGCATTTGTATGTCCATGAGCTAAAGCAAAGGATCAAGCAGTTAGGAAAAAAAATATCATAACATTGAAGGTACAAATTTTTCTGCACAAGATGTGTATTTCGACAATAAATGTCTCTTCACTGAAGCTCAATGCCAAAATATTTGAAATTCAAGGATAAGATATAATGAAAGGTTTATGTTAGAGTGTTTGTCTTGTCTTAGCTGAAGTACAGATTGGTAGAAGTTAAGCCCATTCGATCCATCCAAAATATCAGTGTAATGTTTTCATAACAGTCTGTATATGTGTCATCGTACGAATGTTCAAATAACGAGAAAATAGCATTACCCATTAACTAGCTCAAATAAACATCATCATCGTTCATAGGCTTGTTCTCTTTTTCATTTGTTGAAATAGCAGTTTGTGTTTCGGTATACGGATTTTCCACCTTATTTAAATCATTTATCTGAAGTGGTTGATACGGATTTACGTATTCTGATTCACAATTAACATCCTCACTGCCCTCGTTCTCCTGTGAAGAAGCACTTTCATTGTCTGGAATTGTATGACCCCCCAGTGCTTCTGCTATAGTGTCTTTAACATCTGTTTCAGGTTGTTCGGAAATCATATGACCTGATGAATTCCGTTTTAACTTCATCTGGTCGGGGTTATTTCTCATTTGGGTATTGTGGGTAACGATATCAATGTTTGTTTCCATTTCTAAATCGATTTCTGCGTAAATGTCTCCTGGTACGGTTATCCCGGTATTTCGACGGTCACGAAAGCTTACAACGGCCACTGTTTTTTTCTTTTTCATCAGTCTTTTTCGGACAATATAATAACAAATAATGGTAAACTGAATGATACACAAACTTGACGTGAAAATTAGAAACAACCGCTCCATGTTAACTGTGTTTTCATTTCCTGTAAATTTCAGAAAAAATAAATCAGGCTGTTGTTTAAGTCTTATATTTTAATATGATTGCAACGTCAATATATTGTTGTTGAAACAATTAATAATATATGCAAGTTCTAAATTTTAGGATCTTAAAATGAATGTTACACTGTTAACTTTATTTATTTAAATTGTTCCATTGAGAAGTTATTGATATACACAGATCGTGATGATATGTTTTTTCGTTAAATAATCAAGAATTCTCAGAATATACTGCCGAAATTTACCCAAGGAACTTATTTTAGATAAACAGCAATAGCTGTCCTAGATTTAGATTTTTCAGTTTTACACGGTTTTTTGTTCCCGATTGTTACTTTTGCTTATTTTTAGACGATGAAGTTCCTTTGGTCCCATCTTAAGTTGTATATATATCCCAACTCGTTCGCTATGTCCGTGTCTGTAGCGACGTTATAGATATTAATAACGCAATCTATCACTGGTAAATTATTTTGAATAAACCTATTGTATTATAAAAGGTTATCAGATTAACACTCTAATAAGATCTTTGAATATTGTTTTTATCTGTACACACATTGATTTTGTTAGTAATACATTAAAACATATTTAAATACTATACAGCTATGAACTTTTACGGGCCTATATTCTGTCGATACTTATATTTTGGCATTGCGCAAGATCATGTTCTGCTCTGACTATTTATGAAATCTTTACACTAAATCCGTTGGATGTGTATTAATTGATATTTTAGTTTTAGATCCATGATTCATTAGTTATTATTGGCTTTGAAATAGCTTTTAGTATCTAGTATTAAAACATTTGACTTTTCTACACTTTACACAAGTATTTCCCATTCCAAACTAAAAGACAAATTGAAAGAGTTGGTCCTGCTTGGTTTCATAAAAAAGAATGGCCAACGTAGATACAAGTATCTTGTCTTAGGGAGAGATAAATCCTACTTTGTAAAAAATCACTCTGATTCAAACAACAAATTTTCTGAAACTGACATTATCAAGATACTTGATTTCTTGATTAACAACATATTTGTTACGTTTGGAGCACGAGTTTTTCAACAAACAATCGGCATTCCGCAAGAGAACAAACTGTGCCCCTCTTCTTGCCGACTTGTTCCTTTATTCATATGAGGCTGACTTCATACAGGAACTTCTTAGGAAGAAAGTAAAGAAGTTAGCAGTATCTTTTAACTTTTCTTTCTGCTACATACATGATGTTCTCTAAAAATTTGGTGTCTATGTTGAACGCACCTATCCCATCGAACTTGAGATAAAGGATACAACAGATACAGGTAAGTTCGCCTCATATCTTGACTTACATCTAGCAATTGACAATGAGGGTCGGTTGAAAACAAAACTTTATGACAAAAGAGATGATTTCAGCTTCCCAATTGTGAACTTTCCATTTTTATGTAGCAACATTCCAGCAGCGCCTGCATACGGAGTATATATCTCCCAGTTGATACGTTACTCAAGGGCTTATATGTCCTATCATGATTCCTTGATAGAGGGTTGCTGCTCATAAGGAAGCTATTAAACCGAGAGTTCCAAGTGGTGTAGTTAAAATCACCCCATCGTAAATTTTACGGACTCCATCACGAGTTGGTTGACCGTTAGGGAATATCCGTTTCACAGGTGATAGCGGATATGTTCCTAATGTCGTAACTACAATCCCGTTCCCTTTCCCGAATGAGATCATCCCCATGTTTTGGTGGGGTTCGTGTTGCTCAGTCTTTAGTTTTCTATGTTGTGTTTTGTGTACTTATGTTTGTCTGTTGGTCATTTTCTTTTTTAGCCATGGCGTTGTCAGTTTATTTTCAACTTATCAGTTTGAATGGCCCTCTGGTATCTTTCGCCTCTCTTTGTATCTTGAGTCTTTTTGTTAGTTGTTCTATTTTGATTTGTGTCAATCTGAGAGGTAAAGGCTTTTTCATCTGATTTTTATTGTTTGGGTTGTTACAACACTGCTCCAGGTAGGCGGAGGGTTGAACGCCCCGAAACATGTTTAACATCGCCACATTCTATGTGTGTCTATCCCAAGTCAGGAGCCCGTAACTCATTAGTTGTCATTTGTTGCTGTTTATTTTATTTGTTTTTCGTTTATTGTTTTCTACATAAATCAGGCTGTCAGTTTTCTCATTTGAATTGTTTTACATTTGTCATGTCTGGAACTTTTAAATATTGCTATGTGTTATGGATTTTAGTAATTATTGAAGGCCGTACGGTGACATATAGTTGTTATTTCTTAGTCATGTGGTCTTTTGTGGATAGCTGTCTCATTGGCAAGCATACCAATCAGATAAATCTTAAAAATGATATCTAACATATTTTGAAAATTAAATTTTTGTAAGACAAATATCTTTTATTCTAATATGATGTCCTTATTTCGCTTTGTACACAAAGCCTTGTTCTAATTAGCACAAAATATATTTGACACATGCTCACAAACTTACTATTTACATTCATGTTATTTTCATTTGTATCCTAATAAAATATATACGTTTTAGCTGCTTACATAAAATTTATTATGTATTGTTATTCAAACACCATGCATTTATCCTTCAATTAGTTTCTAAACTTCTTTGAACATGTAATGTACACACTTCATGCGGAGAAAACGGGAACAGCCACACATTTGGAAGGTATTTTTGTACGCTTCGACCTATAAAAAAAATACCGCGTTTTTGTCTTATTGGAATCGAAATAATTCCTTCGTGTCATGCTTTATGCTCCTTTTAACATGAGTAGGCATTATATTTGTCGATCTTTTACAATGAGCGTTAGCTAAATAAACTTTACAAGTACTAATCAAAATCAAGCATTTTAACGTGAAGTATAATATAATAATTTCTCGTTATAAAAATCCCTGATCGTAAACGTTTAAGGTATTGAACCACTAATTCGGGCAAGGTCACAAAAACATGCAAGAAAGTAGTACATATTTTAAACAAAAAAAAAAGTTCCTACGCATAGCTGTAATTTTTCAAAGTAAAACATTTGGTTCATTTTGTTATCAGATGGAAGCTTTAGGACTTGGGACCACTGTAGAACTCTTCTTGAGAGTTTCTCTTGAATAAATAACTTTATTTGAACTTAAGACAAAATAGCTATAAATGCTTGAAATTGCATAAATGGACATAGAAAACAATCGGGCTATGAATTAATGGGTTTATTTCTTAACAAAAGGTTTAAGACAATTAGACATGAGTTAACACAATTTATTGAATCCAGAGTTTCTGTTCTCTAAATTTCTTCGTGCAAATGACAAAAATGACGTCTCGACCTATCAGAAAGGTCAAAGCAGTGACTTTCCCATTGATTTGAAGTTATTGTCAACAATTCGTAGTTGTTGTACATGTACCATTTGACAATAACCAAAGCCCCTTACTTTGCATTACATTATTCCGATATTCATTTGATCTAATATAATACCAATATTGTGCCCAGTTGATGTATCTTTTTATGACAATCTGTTTAAGATATATGGTTATAAACTTGAGAGAAAATACAGAAATAGTAACGGTTGATGAATTTTTTGTTATATAAATATATAAACTTACCATCAAGACGTAGGAAAGATCTGGAAATGAAGAATTAGAAATTTTTATTATGAAATTATATGTGCCTAAAAGAATTGTGCTTCATGAGAATTAACAGACCACCTTCACTGAATGAAAATAAATTGATAGATACATTATGCAAATCGTTGGAAAAGTTGTATGTCAATATGATAATTATATGATTTTAGGCGATTTAAATTTTGATATGTCTGAAGACAGTACAAGTAAACAGTTTGCTGATATGCGTAACTTGTATGAATGTGATAAAACCAAAAAAAATGTGTTTTAATACCACAAATTTGTCAAATGGTTTTAGTGATTGGCAAATCTTGATTGGTACATTTATGAGATATAATCCATATGTCAAACCTACAAATATTTATTTACTATAGATCTTTTTTCTAATTCATCTGGAAAATATGGATGTTCATAAAGATAAAAATGTCAATAAAAAATATGATTTATTTGAGTATTCTTTGGTAAATGAAGAAAAGTCTTTTCCATGCATTAACAGCCAATTAAGTAGCACTGTTTATAGAAAACATATGTTGTTTAACAAATTTAAGGAGAGCATAACAAATTTGAATCGAGAAAATTATCGTAAACAGAGAAATGTGGTAAATAAATTAAAAAAAAAACCAAGTATATAAGAAATTATTTTATGCAAAGATACGAAGGCGGTGCGAAGTCTAAAGATTTTTGGCCTTAAATAAAACCATTTTTATTACAAAAAAAAAGATATTTTTCAGCACCACGTATAACACTGGAAAAAAAATAACGAGATCATTACTGAAACAAAAGAAGTTGCTGAGATTTTTAATATGTATTTGTTAATGTTGCAAATGACATTGGTAAGGATGATTTATTCGAAATACGTACTCATCCAATTATAAACAACATAAAAATTTACTTTAATGGTCAGACTCAAAATTTTAGTTTTACTCCAACAGATAATACCAACGTGGCAAAAATCATAAATAGTATTAGTACAAAAAGGCTACTGTCTGAGACAAAATTTCTGCAAAATTAATGAAACTTGGTCAACCTGTAATGACTAATATTGACTGAACTAATAAACATGACAATTGATTAAGATAGTTTTCCATCTAAACTAAAAATAGCTCAAGTCACAACTTCGTTTAAAAAGAACTATAGACCAGAAAGCGTTCTTCCTATGATATTTGAAGTGTTTGGAATACAACTCTAACAGCTAACAGACTTTTTTGAAAATAGTTTTCATATATTTTAATGTGCTCTTCGAAAAGGACAAGGTTGCCAAACAGTGCTATTAAAGCTCATTGAGGACTGGAAAAAGACATTGGACCACAAGAGTATGTGGCAGACATTTTAATGGATCTGTCAAAAGCATTTGATTGTCTTCCTCATGAAATTTTATTAGCTAAATTATCTGTTAACGGTGTGAGTGTGGAATGGTGAAATTTCAATGATTTGTATGTATAGAAATATTATATTTTTTACTTTCAGGATTGTACTTTGATCTGTATGAATTTACTGTTTTGATAATAAAATATTCATTGGAACATATTTATTGGATCTGCTTACTTATTTACAGAATAGAATCTTTATTTCAATATTAAAAGAATGAATCATGCTGTTTTGATTATCTTATATGCTTATTAAGGTGATGACCTGAGTTCTGGTATGTGAACACTTTAAATGTCTATTCATTGTATTGATGGTCAGTTGAGGTCACTTTGTCCATTCTCATTGGTCATTTAAATCACATGTATGTGTGTGTGGGGGGGGGGGGAAATCTCTTTATTCTTTGAAAGCATTCCTTTGATTTGTTTTCAGCATGAAGGCAGACATTTTGAGATATATATAATCATATATATGAAAGTTGTTATCCATTCGTTTAATGTGTTTGAGCTTTTGATGTTGCCATTTGATTACGGACTTTCCGTTTTGAATTTTCCCCGGAGTTCGGTATTTTTGTTATTTTACTTTTTTATATTCTGATATCCATTTGAGGCTTTATACTCAGCTACTGTTTTACTTTGTCACCATATTCTTCATTGAGGTAGTTATGATTACTAACATATATTTAATTATCATTTATTTAATAATTCTAGTGTATTTGAGATGAGTGATTAATTGACTGACGAATAATACAGCTAAATTGATTAGGTTAAAAACTGTAAAAGCATTTAAACCTATATGAGCTAATATTTAAAACTATTAGATATTAACATAAACTATCTGAATAGTATTTTCATCATTTAACTAGTAAATATTAATTAAAAGTAGGATTTCATGTACGATCTGTATATTTGTGTAATTGTGCATTTTTGGGCACGATAGTTATAATCCTTTTTTATATTCAGGTGTTACCATGTTTTGATGAGTCATGTTTGATTCCATCCCATGAAAGGATAATATTGTTTTGACTTTCGCATTCAAGTGTGAGGTAAGCATTAAGTTTGGTTTTATATGTTTTGCTATCAATGCTTATTATTTATATGCTTAAGCTTATTTCCAATTGCTTTGTTTTTGCTAAGTTATTCGGTTTGTTTCGTGTAGAATCTAGTTTTGCATGTAATTATATTTTCAAGACATTATTACATAATTGAATATATTGTAAAATCAATAAGCAATATAATTCAATTAGATTATATTAACATATTTTTGTTAAAATAATGAAATAGAGAAAAGGTTCAGAACTTGTATAATTTATTTTAATTGGAAATTCATTAAGTTCGCATTGTACTCATGCTATTATTCTTGAACCGTTGTTTATAATTTTATATTTCATTACAGGGTTTTTTTGTTACCAACTATATTTATTCATAATAAAACGAATCCTGAACCTGAGAAATGTTTATGTGTTTCTAAAAATCTTGGAAAACAACTTGACTACATGAGTACTCCGATGTTTCACTTTTAGCTGACTATTTGTCTAACCGTAGACTTTGTATAAACATTGGCTCTGTCCTAAGTAATTGGGAGAACATTAGAAATGAGGTACCTCAATGGTTAAGACTTTTGGCCTCTCTTACTCAATGTTTTTATAAATGAAATATTGTTTTCACTTTATAATTTTGCAGATGACAATACCTTGTCCTTTGTAGATTTAAATTATGATAATCTAATTAAAATCCGTGAACAGGAAGGTGGCGAACAAATGAATTGGTTTGAAATAAATAAATGCAAATAAAGAAAACCCATAGCTTAAATCCTGTTTTCAATACCAAGGATTGTATAATTTCATGTGATTTTGTTGTCAAACTTTTGGGAATAAAAATAGACTTTAATTTAATTTTCATATTTAAACATTATGTAAACAGGCATAACAACAATTAAAAGTTTTGAAAACGATTGGTAGTAAGTTATCGAAACTAAATAAATTAACTATCCTTCACATCTTTTTACTTTCAAATTTTAATTTGTGTCCAGTTTCATGGCATTTCTGGGGTGAATCAAATGTCAATAAAGTAGACAAATTCAGGAGAGCTCTGAGATTTATATACAACGATTATCTTTCATATTATGATACATTTTTGGGTTGAGTTAAGATGCCCTCCCTTAAAAATAGACATATGGGAACGGTGGCTTTAGAGACTTTTAAAATTATAAACAGCCTTATATTATTAAAGTATACCTCTATATGTGTAAATTTATTGGAAATTCCATCAATTAAAATAACTTCTTTTGAAAAAAAAATGTTTTCGATATACTGCACCCATATTATGAACTCACCGAAAACTTCAAGAATGAAACAAATTTTAATCAATTTAGAAATCTGATTTTAAATTCGAATGGGAATGCCTGCAAATGTGCCTGTTGTAGATGAAAACAATTATTCTTCATTTTTCTGACCTTTTACTGGTTTTTGTAAAACATTTACCAACAAATTTTTAATGCGTTGATTTTTTTATTATTAGAATTTATTTTCAAAAATATGACTGCCATCTTGTTTCTATTATCAACTTTGCATGAATTGTTTTTGTGTTATGTATATGTTTTATTGTTGGAAAAAAGTTCTTGTGAGCTCGTATTTTCTATGTTTTAAATAGCCGACTTTAAATAAAATTTATCTTATCTTATCTTAGTAATTTAAATTACTTTTAATGTAATTTCTGATGAGGCATGTGATATGTTTACTAAATAAAGGCAACAGTAGTATACCGGTGTTCGAAATTCATAAATCGATTGAGAAAAAACAAATCCGGGTTACAAACTAAAACTGAGGGAAACACATCAAATATAAGAGGAGAACTACGACACAACAGAAACACAACATTAAAATGTAACACACACAGAAACGAACTATAATACAACAATGGCCATTTTCCTGACTTGGTACAGGACATTTTAAGAAAAAAATGGTGGGTTGAACCTGGTTTTGTGGCTAGCCAAACCTTCCGTTTTTATGGCAATGTCATAAATGATATTTAAAATCACTGGTATAACACTATTTTTGTAGTATTCCAACGTTCTAATAAATATTTTGCTGAAACGTTTTCTAATTAATGTTTTCAAAATTTGATAAAGATAGTGACTATATACGAAATAAAAACGAACATCCGCTTAAAGTTTTCAGAAAGCGGGAAATGTTATATTCACAGCAACCGCACAAGTCGATATGTTAACTAAGATATATTTGTTGTACTGTTGGGTCCCTGATTTATTGTATGTGAACCTATATATTTTCATAGTAACAGTGCTGGGAACATCAAATTGAGTCTTGAGCATTATTTTATATGGTTCACAGATTGTAACTTACTCTTGAACATTATTTATTATGGATATATTAGTTTAAGCGATTCTGGCTTTTCCTTTTTCGACATCTATTAAAGAACTAGGATACTTTTATTTGTTCGAGTTAATCTACAGTTAATTCAAACTTTTCTCGCCGATTAATGTTTTACACACATACCCAGTGATCACTGATCTTATTTTGCAGATTTAGATCATTCTGATACAATTTGATATGATTTTATCAAAATTTATATCGAATGACCAAACTGAAAAAATGTATTTGTAAGGTAAAAGATAAGCAGATAAAATTTTAGTTTTGGTTAAGAATGTTCCTCTCATCAATATTTTGGATTAATAACCAAAATATTTCAAACTGCAGTTTTTAAATGGCACCAGTGTGCAATTAATTCAGTGGAATTTGGTCATGAAACGTTTTCACGTTTCTTGGTTAATTTTGAGTGCCAATTCATACTAGGGATCTTGTCAATTAATGACACCATGGTTGGTTAAAACACAAAATACTTTTTTGAAGTATATACATTGCTTTTCCAGCCTTGATATATCTTTTTATGTTCTAAAGTCAGTATATCATCGGGAAAATTGTATACGCCATAATTATTTGTGAACAATTAGAAAATAGGGCAAATTTCTCTTATTGAAACACATTTTTAAATTTTATGTCCCCTTTGATTTTGCATATGTTTTATTATATGTATTTCTAGAAATTCCTTTAAATAATTTTTAGCAAATACGATTTCATTAATTAAATCAATATTCAGGACTAATGGGTGTGGTTGGTTCACATTCAACATATTACAATATTCAGACAGTCTAGCGGATTGTTGTGTATAAGGTGATCACTACACATGTATCATTAACAGTGGTTACAGAAAATGCATTCATATAAGGGGCATAAAAAAGAACAAAGAAAGATTATCAGAGTTATGCTGGTAATTTTGTGGCTAAAAATGTATATTTTTAAAGATTGAATTGACTCTCTTTATTTTAATTTTGCTCTCCCTCTATTTCTGGTATGAGGCCAATAGGAGGGTTTCGAGACAGTTGCTATTGTAAAAGTATAACCACGTGACATGTTTTTATGCATCTGTCTAGTTTTTCTCACAGGTAAATTAAGCAAATGGAATTATTTGATAGATTTCAATGTACAATATTCAACAACACTTTTCTATTTCTACTCCCACACCTTGGTGAAAACCTATAGTAAATTACCGTAAACCCTTAATGTAACTCCCCACATTGCATAGATTTCTGAAACACCCACCAATCTTGGAACTAAACTCAGTCCATCACTTTTGCAAGATCGTGTTCTGCAATCTATAGTTATTACCCGATCACTTTATATAACACTTACTGCGTTGTTGTAAAATTTTCTTTCTGTATGCAATGAATTTCTGTAGGATAGAGAAACTCGAGCTCTAAAATTAAAATAATTGTTCAAGTTGTAATTAGAATTTTTCTGCAAGAACAAAAAATGATATTGAAATCTACCTACTGTTTATTTGCACCAAAATAATAAGACGACTATTCAAAAGAATTCGTGTCCTTAATAGTAAATTGGTGATAATTTTTCAAGTTTTCCCTACTAACTATGATTTAGTGTTCCTGTCTATTATCTTGACAATTATAATCGACACCAATCGTAAATAGGAGGGGGGCTTGAAAGATTTTGTAAAAAATTATCTCAATTTTTACATAAATAACAATATTGCATATCAAGCATATTGTAATTGTGATAATGATTTTAAATTACAATAAAAAGGAAGCCAATTTAGAGTCCCCAAAAAAATATTTTGAATTAGAGATTAGGAATTTTTAAAAAATCGTGAGCTCGGATTTTAGTCGTTATCCCAAATTGTGTCTAATTCGTTCCAACGAATTATGAGTCATCGTTAAATTCGTGACTACAAATCTGAGTAATTAATTATCACACAATTTTTGTAATTTGTAATCACGGATTAAATTAACAGAGATTAATCATTCGTGATCACGGATTAAATGCGTTACCACGGTTTCTAAATAATTTAGATAACGAAATTTTCCTCGGATTCGTACTCACGATTAAAATATGTGATCACTTTTTTTAAGTTCGTGATCTCGAATTGAATTTATATATTTTTGGGGTCATAAATGTGTTCTCGTACAATATTTATTTTCAGACTTTAAGCATGTCTTCATTGTGGTAACGCTATATGTACTATGATATAAAAACGTTATCTTTTTGACAGATAGCTTTTTTATTACACATAGTGCTACCTCATTGCAAGAAAATGGTGTACATATGCCAGTGTCTGTATTATCGGGTTATACCATTAATTGCTAAATATGAAAGACATGTCACTGCTACATATTTTACATTTGACAGCAAGGTTTTGTTCACAGTATATCACAATACCAATCTTAACAAATGCTATTATCTGATTAAACCTGTGCTTCGTATTATTCTGGTATATTTGCAGATGCAAATTATGTTTTTCTCAAACCAGCAGCATGTAGTTCAATGTTTGTCTTTATTTATTTATTTCTTATGGTATTCGCCTGTATCAGTTGATTCCTGGAAATGTTTCTCTTTGGGAGGTTTTTATTTCCCGTCTTAGTATGTTGTCTTTCCTCATAGCTGAAGGCTGGGACTTGGTGGCCGAGTGGTCAAAGTTGTCGAACTACTGTATTCCTAGCCTGTTAACACTGAGCCTGTGAGTTCGAATTCCTCACGTGGCAGATACTCTCGACTCCAATCTTAATTGACTAGCTAGAATTGTATGTTTTCCTACCGAAGGTCGGAGGTTCTCACTGGGCACTTCGGCTTCCTCCACCAATAACAACTGACTTCCACGAAATAGCAAAATAGTCCTGAAAGTGGCGTTAAACACTAACCAACCAATCAATCAATCATAGCTGAAGCCTGTGTAGTAAATGTGCACTCTCTAGTCTTATGAAGATAGTTGTTTGATTAACAATCCTATCGCCTCTTTATGGTTAATATGCATATGTCTAGTACAATTGGTGTAATAAAGTTATAACTGTAGAGCGATTCTAACTGGGGTCTAACACAGGTTCCCCGAAATGGTTTAGGAATGGCACCTGTCGTGTTGCTCATGACAAGTAAATATCCGATGAAAAGTCGTATTCGCATTCGGCACACCTCGGCCGATCAACAGTTTAACATGTAGGGTAGCGGGAAATGCCGATGTTTGTCGTATACGGTTTTTTTCATTAACAAGGAGAAGAGAATGGGATTTTGACTACCATTATATTGGCGTCCTTCATAATTCAGACCTTGTGCTTCAAAAGCTTCCTTGCAAGTAGCATCCGTCTATGAAGGAAAATCATGGTAGGAAACACTAGCTCGTGTTTACTCGGAAGCATTTTCCATATATTTAGGCGTTGGTGGAATGTAGGTTCATAAAAATAAAAAGTTCACAATAGGAAATCAAGTCAAGTTAGTACGTTTAGCAAAGTTGTACAATCTGTTTACCTAATGATCTTCAAGAAAAAATGTATTATAATATTCAAGATAGATTTAGTCGACCCATCAACTCAGCAGATTTAAAATATTTACAGAAAGAAAAAAAGCTTACTGTAATTGAAAGCATTACACATGGACGTCAGTGTGCAGTAGTTGTCGTTCGCTTTAAAACATGCACTCATTGAATATTTCGGAACATAATTGTCTGTAAAATCACAATAGCAAGTTCTGTCTTCTATCGCACTTCCATGGTTACACACTTTCATTCCTTTCATATTACAACTGCTCCTTTTAAATTTGCAATGCTCTGGACCATATTCTCTGTATTTGTTGGATGGATAAATAAATGGCATGAAGTAGTCAGACTCGCATTCAATTTCCTGTAATTTGTATTTTGTTACATTAAATATTGGCATGTATCCTAAAATTTAGAAAAAAAATATATAAATAGAGTAATATAGCTGGATCATCAAGATGTTGGACTAAACATTTTTCTAAAGTGTTGACCACTATTCTTTCCACAGTAAAAGATGGCATTCAAAAATATTGTGATGAAATATTTTCAACCAGTGGTGTCAATCAGATGTGGATTCTCCAAAATTCTAAAGATCTACTGCTAAATCTCAGATCACAATCACTGCAATTTTGTAGTAACATTAAGACCTTTGATTTTTCTACGCTTTACATTACTATTCTCCATGCTCAATTGAAAGATCGACTTCACCATCTCATTAAACAGAGCTTTTTCTATAAAAATTGGAATTGTAGATATAAATTTCTAGTTTTGGGTCATAATAATTCTTATTCTGTGAAGAACCACACTGATTCTATCAGAAAATATAGTGAAGATGGTATTATCAAAATGCTGGTCTTTTCAATCGACAATATCTTTGTTGAGTTTGGAGGATTGATATTTCAACAAACAGTCGGTATTCCAATGGGTACTAATTGTGCACCCCTTCTGGTCGACTTGTTTTTGTACTCGTATGAAGCAGAATTCATTCAAAACCCTCTCAAAGACAAAGAGAAAAAGAACCTTGCAAAGTTCTTTAATTTTACTTTCATATACATGTATATTGATGATGTCCTATCACTGAATTACCCATATTTCAGTCAGTACTTGCATCTCATATATCCCAGTTAATATCCTTAAATTAAGGATACTACTGATACAAGAATGACTGTTTCATACCTTGATCTTTTCCTCAATATTGACAAAGATGGACGACTTCACACTAAAATCTGACAAACGGGATGATTTCAACACCCCAATTATCAATTTCCCCTTTCTCTGCAGTAACATACCTTCTGCTCCGTCGTATGGTGTTTACATATCTCAATTGATACGTTGTGCTCATGCATGTTCTAACTATACTGACTTCATATACAGGAGTGTGCTCCTTACGCAGAAACTGCTCCAATAGAGTTATGAGGAGGAAAGATTAAAAATGACACTCCGTAAATTTTATGGACACCATCACGAATTGGTTGATCTATACGATGTGTCTGTGTCTAAACTAACTAATGACATTTTTACTACGTCTCAGATTGTAGTTTAACATCTATGTGGTCTGTCTGCTAAGTACCGAATGTGACCTATTCCCGAATATGACTGTTATACCGAGAGTGAATTTGCATTGCAATACGACGTGTCTCGGTATTTTGTACATCCAACATTCAATATATTTATTTTTGATGTTTTTGTTATGGTTTCTGTTGAATAATGTGTTAAGTCGTATCGTTTGTTTTCCAAATAATTATAGAATTGCCTTTCAATACCAGCATTGTCATATTCCCGAATATGACTGTTATACTGAATATGAATTTGAATTGCTGTGCGGCGTGTCTCGGTGTTTTGTTCATCAAACATTAATGGATTTATTTTGATGTTCCAATTATGGTTTCGGTTGAACAATCTGTTATGTCTTATCGTTTGTAGTCCAAATAATTATAAAATTGCCTTTCCATACCATCATTGGCATGTACATTGTTTGAACGAATATTGAGAAAATAATTTTATAATGCTCGAGATTGCATGTTTGTTACGTAAGCGCGTCATCGTTTTTGATCTCTTATGGTGTTTTTCTTTGATGAAATATGTTCATTGTTGTTCTGTGGTTTGCATGTTGTGTCGACTATTATATTATTTGGCTGTGCGTTTTTCTGTTATGAATGTTCTTGCGTGTGTTTGTGCTGTATTTCTGTCACGTAGTGTTTTAGCGATATTTGTTTAACATTGTCATAAAGCGGGAGGATTGGTAATACGTGAAACCAGGTTCAACTCCCATTTTTCTTAAAATGTCCTGTACCAAGTCAGGAATATGGCAGTTGTTATCAAAAAGTTCGTTTCTATGTGTGTTGGCGTTTGTTTGTGTTGCACTTTGGTTCATTTGTTTTCCTTTTATAGTTGATGTGTTTCCGTCGGTTTGGTTTGTAACCCGGATTTGTTTTCTCTCAATCGATTTATGACTTTTGAACACCTGTATACTACTGTTGCCTTTATTTGTCATTCTCAATTTCCAAACATAAGAATTATTCAGATTTTTGTAAATATTGCATTCGTGTATATGTTATTTTTATTATACGCTAGATATTCGCCTGATTTAAAATAGGACCAAAAATGATAGACAAAATGGACGTTCAATTCACCTTATCACGTGTTGGTTCCCCCTTGCTTTGTTATTAACACAATGGCGATAGTCCTTGTATATAAGGATAAAGATTGAACATTTGTAAGTTATATCGTATTGCAACTCTTTTCTTATAAAAATATAACAGTGAGTTTCCAATTGCAAAACACTGGCTGCAATTTTCAGTACCTGCTGCAGACTTAAAGGGGATATGCATCACCCTCTACACCCATAATAAACCATTAATTGGATTTCAGTACACTTGTAGGGTTTCTTTATTAAACATTTCCACTATTATTTCATTACAATTTGCAGGAAATTTTTGTAGTGTTTCTCAACATGCTCAAAGATAACAAAACCCATAGATTTCCTAATTACATATTTAGGTAATGATCTCTAATCTGCACTCTCCTTAAACCAGCGAATGCGGTACAGAGATACTCTAAACATAATTCGGTAAAAATACCACTTGATCACTTCCTGGAAAATCACCTGGCCAACTCGGTCGAAACTTAGCAGGAATAAACTTGAAATATCAATTTTGTTTTCTATACTTTTACTCCAGTTGGGCAATGAAAACACGACCGTTTTCTCTCGAGGTGAGTACGCTACACCAAGACAACTGAGAAAATGATAATATAAGAGATTTCCTTAAGCCAAAAATCTTCCTTCCAATGATGGAAATAAAATGCACCTCCTTGTCAAAATTTGTTAACTTCTTTTAAATCTATGTACACCAACCATTTGAGATGAAAGATTACCGTTCTAGATTGTACTTTGTAAATACAGCTGTTTCACAAGCCACGCCTCTTTTGGGGAGATATTTAATATTCATAGATATTTTGTTTTGATTACGTACGTGTTCCCAGAAAACGATCTCTATGTTTCATCTCATAGTGAAATATCTACGATATGTTATCAGTATGAAAACACATGGCAGCGTTGAAAAATGAATTCTGGAGAAGACCCAAACTAAAGGTAGGGGTAGAACAGAATTTTCCGTTCTATGATATGATTTCTTACGAAACTTCATAGTAAAAGTGGCACAGCTATAGCCACAAAGGGAGTTCCTATGGGAAATTGCATTGTCCATATTTACAGAAGTGCAACCGCTAGTGCATTCTTGGTCATACTACGTAAAATGACATATTTTTTCTTTTCTTATTCTTTCAATCTGTAAAGGCGAACAAATGTTTGCCTCTAGCTTCATTTGCATATTACATTTATATTCCAAATCCTTATATACCTATGTGGAGTTATTTTCTTTCAGAACGTCATGTCTTTCTTTTGAAGAATCAACCCGGACGATACCAAGTTTCAATGAAATTTGCCTCAAGGCAGAAAATAATGACCTGTGTAAGGTCATTATTTTCCTTGATTAAAATGCAAACTATAATTTACTTTAACATTTAATTCGTTTGATAGTATCGCGTGCTATGGATAAAGACATAAACAATCCTGTCATTTGTTTTAGACTGAATTATAGAAAAAAGTCGTGAACGCACATTTTAACGTCTGAAACAAATAATGTGAAATCAAACATTGACCTATGGATATTTTTTTTTCGTGTTATATGTACATGTATCAGTATTTCGTGCTCTATTCGTGTCACCTCTGAATTTATTACATCTATAGGTACCTATATCTTTTACTCTATCAAATGATCAAATGGCCACGTGCTTTATGATAGGGTTTTTGTTTTTTTTTTTGGGGGGGGGGGGGGTATAATATTTAATTCTGACTACGTTCTCTGTTTAAAAAAATTTCATTCAAAAGTGAAAACAATAATTCTGAACTGCTCGTTAAAAACTGTTGAAAAATAATCTGCTTTTCCGCGATGAAAATGTCACGAAAAAAATAGAAAAAAACATAGCATCCCCCGTTCTTAAAAAAAGTTGAAAATAAATTACTTACAAAGTGACTTGTATTTTTCATACACCGTAACAATTCATTTGTGTCTTGCTTCATGCATTTGGTGATATTTCTTTTGTAACTGGATAAAGATTGCTAAAGCTTTTTATATATATATTAAAAAGTGAGTTTTATTTCACGTTTCTAATGAGCCGTAGCGCGTATTAAAACCAGTGCGGATCAGAAAAGAATATCCCACTTTAGTGTGGTTAATAAAATATGATGGAAATCTTGCAAATCTTTGCAGAAAATAATATTTTTTTACGGTCGGTCTTTCATTTGATCAATCCTGACACCCCTCGGTGTGTTATACAACAAGAAAGACCTTAAAATATGCATTATCTATAACAGAGCACACGCCTTGTAAACACATTCTTGAAATAACATTTAGCAGTATAAATGTAAGGAGATGTGGTATGATTGTCAATGAGACAACTATCCACACGAGTTAAAATGAAGTAAAATCTAGGTACCCTCTAGACCGCAGTTGTTGAAATAAATAAAAAAAACTTGTACATCGAAACGTACAATGTATAAACAGTCAGATTGCAGTCTTAGGTTCAGTACATCACTTACCTTTGCTAATGTTTTGTGCTGACATACAACATTCTATAAGAGAATCACGGGGAAAATTTTCTGTTATCAAACAGTGATACCGATCGCTGAAAGTACACTCTGCTAGTGAATGTATGTACCAGTCATAAGCATTTCTTGGGCATCTAGGTACACGTTTTAGATGAGAACACCCTTCACATGTTATTGTAGAAAACATACAATAGGACCTAAAAATCAATAAACGAAATCATGGCACATATTTAGATTTTAACAGAATTGCATAGTTATCATAGACACTATTGTTCCTGTTACGCGTTTAGATAATTTTCTAAGTACGCATGATAATTGATTGATTGATAAAATGGTGTTTAATGCATTTTTCAACACTTTGGGCTATTTTGTGACGGTCAGATTATATTTGTGAAGGAAGTCGGAGTACAAGGAGAGAACCATCGACCCTTGTCAGCAATTGACAATCTTTATCAATTAAGATTGAAGTCGAGCGCACTCACATCATAATCAAAACTGACTGTAACTATCAAAAGATATAAGCAATTTTAGATAAACATTTTGATCCTTTACCTATTACAGAAAATTGAAAAAAAATGCTTTTATCTCTTTAATTTTCTGAAATATAACTAAATGAGTTCTTTCAAAATAGATGAAAATTTGTATAGAAAGCACAAATATATTATTGGAAAAACAACGTTCTTTAATATGTCTTACTATCATCAAAATTCTAATTACAAATGCATAGATTTTTCATACAAATTGATCTGTTGTTGATACATATAATTTCCGATTGACTGATATAAAAAAAGCATAGGGTCACCGACTTCTTTTTTTTTTTTTGCGTATAAACCAATCTACTAGTTAGTAGTGAATATGGTCATAACTCGACAATTTATGGCTTACACGATGACGTAAAGCTTATTCCGACTATATGTGGTATTTGTTTTAACTAGAATATAAAAATAAGAAGATGTGGTATGATTGCCGATGAGACAACTCTCCACCAAAGACCAGATGACATAGAAGTTAACAACTATACGTCACCGTACAGCCTTCGATAATGAGCAACACCCATACCGCATAGTTATCTATAAAAAGCCCCGAAATGCCTAATGTAAAACAATTCAAATGAGAAAATTAACGGCCCGATTCATGTACAAAACACTGAACGAAAACCAAATATGATATACAGCAACAAACGACAACCACTGAATTGCAGGCTCCTGATTTAAGACAGGCACATATAGAATATGCGGGGCTAAACTGGTTTGTTGGTGCCAAACCCTCCCCCTAACCAGGAACAGTAGTGTAACAGTACAACATAAGAACAAACTATAAAAATCAGTTAAAAAGGACTTAACTCATCAGATCTATACAAAGCACAAAACATCTAACAAAAGCACAACCACTTTAAAAAAAAAAGTTAACAGCGAAATTTGGTTTTGAGTGTTTAAAAATGTTTGGAAATGTTTAAATCGGGTATAACGTACTGTTAATGTTTATCTCTGAACTAGAAAAAATGTATGTACAATTTAACTCACCAATAGTTGTATCATCTCTATGAATACGGAAAACTTAATAAACAAATACAAGTAACGGATGTTTTAAGTGTAGTTAATTGTACTGAAATAACTTTTATCAACGGATATTCTTTATGCATTGCCGACACAAATATTTATCAATTCTTAACTCATTTTGAAGGTAATCGGATATGAATAGATAAACATTTTTTATTCAATTGTGTCCATTGGGGGGATTTTTGTTTTTATATTTTTCGAAAGTTGAATGCCACTTTTTGTATTTTTAGTAAACAATAAGACATTTAATCTACTTTCAGTGGTCATAACAATAAAGAAAAAGACCTTTGTTTTACTAGTTGAGACCTTTGACTGGTCAACTTATGACCTTTGCCTGGTTGAAATGACGACATATGACTGGTCGAAATGGCAATGATCAACAATGCGTGATTTATATATAATTGTACCTGGTAAATGACATTGATTGTCAGAACAACGAAAACATTCTGCAAATTGAATGATTAATGAGAACATTTCAAATGAATACAAAAAAGTGTGAATCTTCAAACCTACAACATTTCTACTTTCCATGATATTGTAATTAATGACATAGAAATGATTGGAAGATATACAATGCATATTCAATGAATAAATAGTCATTTTCAAATCTAAGAATTAGTTATTGACTGTAAATTTTAATCGTGTGTCCTGATTTAGTCTTATAGTTCTACAGTTTCAAAACATTTTTGAAAATTGGAATCAAAAATTGCCTATGAAGGCCATACCAAGTTCTTTATTTGATCGGACAGAAATGAGGAATTTTATTCCTGTCAAATTTAAACCAAATTGTTCAGATGGTTTAGAGGAAGTGATTGAAATGTTATTGTCTAAAGACGAACAAATTACTAACAGATACACATAATTTTTGATTAGAGCTCACACGTCCATTGCGGTATTTATACGGACAAAAAAATTAAAATATCTCTTGAACAAATTCGCTGGCTTAGGGAGACAGCTGATCAAAGATCATAACCTACATATGAAAAAGAAAATCCATGAATGCCATTGATCCCGTAAATGTTGTAGCAAGAGACACTCACTCAGTCGATGCACCAATACCCGCTTATTTTTAGCTCGTGCGATTCCCTCAGTTTTTGTTTTTTATCTTAATTTGTGTCTTCTTAATAGATTTATGAAACATCAGTAAACCACTGTTGTCTCTAATTTGTACTGACCTATGTCTGGTTTTGAACATGATTGCGATGAATCATACGAAGCAACAGCATCTGATGCGGCATCGTCTGAACTGTTTACCTTTACTTTTTCTTTTCTTGTTGATTTTTACACATTTGTTGGGCGTTTTGCTAAGGTTGAAAACAGTTTGGCAGGGTGTGCTTAGGATTCTGACGAGGAACATCCATAATCTGGTGTACCAAGGTGTCTCTGAAGAGGATGATGATAGAGTTTTAGCCAATTTGCATTCATCATGCTTTTGAGCTCTTTGTCGTTTCTTAATCTCAAGTTTGTAAGTGTGATACAAGCCTTTAGATGCAATGTTAGATTATGTCCATCAAATGTTCAATGTGGCTTTGAGGACAATCATTTGGGCACCTTTGGTGTATGTGATAAGACCGGATCGTGTACTTCAAAGGTAGGCAACTCAGTGTATCTGTCAATTTTCTTATAATACTGTGCATGTGTAATGTTCTCTGTAATTAATGTTTTGGGTATCTGAAGGTCGTCAATAATTTTGAATATGCTTAACTGGATTTTTTTTTATGTTGGGTTTATAAATGATGCTTGTATCAAGTAGACAACTCATCTCGTTGCCTATGCAAAACTATGTAGAAAGAAATAAACTCTGAGGATGCTGTAGTAGTTATCCAAAAAGTCATAAGAATACTAAGAATAAGTTTGAGTTCAGGTCCGTTTTGTTTGTGCGTTTTTTCAACAGAACTGGTTGATGAATAACATATACTGGTAAAGGTGTGACTTATTTGATTGACTGTTTACTGTCAAACATCTGACCTTTGTCCGTGATGATACTATGGCAAATTTAAAATATAAAATAGATTTCTCCGTTTAACAGTGTAGATATTTCTTCTGCACTTTCAGTTCGCACTAAAATGGCTTCTGTCCATTTATTAAAAATGAAGTAACTAAATGATTCCCAAGTCGTTGCTTTAAAATGGGCCAATCATATCCATGTCAAATTTGTATCTGTATCTTTGCCAAAGAGAAAAACAACAAGCACATGCCAGAAGATTTCCACTCACAAACATGCCAGTGCAAGATACCTTCCCTCGATGGCATGTTTGTGAATGGAACTCTACTTGCATGTGCTTGTTGTTTTTCTCTGTGGCAAAGATACAGTCTGAAACAGTTTGATACATACTCGGAAAGAAATATTGTGACTTGTATTTAACTTCACAACATACTTGGTTTAAAATGTCATTCTGAAGTCATATATGTCAATTTAGAAATGTTTATGACATCGAAGTAACATTATAACTGCCATTTGTGTTCAGATTAAGTGTCCAGATTAAATCACCCTTTTTAATTCAAATGGACTTAACATGGGTGTTGTCATACCTTCCAAATTAAGATATTAAAAGAAATATTGGATTCAGATTATATGTCAGTTTTTTTATGATTAATTGCAAAACTTCAAAACGTGATGTTAGAGAAAAAATATTTTTTGATATTGGAACCTTATGACAGTCCGATAACTGATTAATTTGAATTATTTTAATATAAGAATGAGGGGAAATAACAATTAATGAGGTATACCACTTCAATTCATTAATATTTCATTTATGATATTAATTATTGAGAATAACTGATATAAAGGGAAATGTGATGCATATGAACGAACACTTTCTTTGCAAAGCACTAAAGAGAACGCGTTTACTTGGAAGTCTTTTTATTTCTTTAATATTTTACGGTTGGTAGTTTTAGTTATAGGCATTTTCACTGAGACATTTAAATTAATTTTTATATACTTATTAAATAAATATTATTATTGTAACTGATCATTATATTCTGTTATAGTATTATTCATATTATTGTCATCTCTGACATGTGATAATACATTTAAAAGGAAATCTTATAAAAGAAATGCAATTTTATCTTTTTTTTATCAATTTATACTTAACTTTTTATTAATTTGTACGGTTACTATTAATTATTACTGTTATTTTCATTCCTGGAACAATTATCTCTAATTTTTGGTATGTATAGCTAAAATGGTTTAAGCAATTTCTCAAATAACAAGTATTTGTATAAGAAATGAGTCAAAAGACTAAATAATTATTTTATAGAGCTATATAGTGGATTACGGAATGATCTATGTTATGACGCCTCAGTATCCATTTACAACTGTATAATTGATGCAGTGGGCAAGGCTATAATATTCGAGCATCCCCAACCGTCGTACATTTTTCGTAGTCAGGCTTTTACCAAAGTGTGTGAAATAAGGTAAGAACGTGTTCTCCTTCTTTAAATCATTGATTTTCAAACTATTTATTAGTATGTTTATATGATATAGGTGAGTATCTTGATAGTGTCTATCCCATTGTTATTGACAAAGGATACAACAGAAACCGCTAGACCTGCAAAATATCTCAACTTACATATAGAAATCCTCAGTCAGGGTCGGTTTATTAAACTTAACGA